CTTTTCTGCCTTTTGTGCTTCTATATTTTTCTCTTTCACCTTTATTTTCTCCCCTTGTGTAGGGAGGGCCCTAGGGTCTTCTGTCAATGTACTATTCCGAAGGTTACTGTTTGTACTCATGATGTGACTACGCTGTAGCTCCATCTCCTTATATCGTCAGTAATGCCGCAGGATGTTATTTTATTTTGATTACTGACTTCTGGACCCCTACATCTTGAGATCTTATTTCCCCCTCAATGTCCTATATTTACTTCTTTGTAATTGTTCTTCACAATACTTCTTTTTTGTATCTACAAAATGTTTAAAATGTCAAAATAAAGAATTAGAAGAAAAAAAAAAAAAAGTACACTTATCCTTAAAAAAAAAAAGCCGTTGCAAGCACATGACTGCTGCATCCTCTAAGACTTTGTTGTGATGGCTGAATTCTGGGCCAGAGTTGGAGCTTGCCTTTATCTTCCACCCCACCTAACACATTCCTATTAGCCCATCAATATGATAAGCTTTCATCATGGCCAATATGGATGTGCAGGGAGGGGTGGGCAACTTTCATTATGATCGGTAGGTACATGTACCTGTCAGAATGGCCTTAGGCCTTGTTCACACCAAATGCAGAGCAGATCCGCTCAGGTTTCTGCACACGCAGTGCAGTGGGTTGTGCCGCGTTTTTGATGCATTCCGGGCTGTTTTTGGTAAAAAAAAAAAAAAAAAATTTCCCTTTAGTTTAACATGGGCTTTCAGTGCGTTCCAGGCATTTGCATGCGTTTTTGATGCGTTTGCAGATCCAGAGCAGGTAAAATAGGGCCTGCTGCAGTTTTTTCACCTGCTCTGGAACTGCACGCTGCAATGTGAACTGGAGCAAAAAATACCATTGGAATACATTGGACGCAGTTTTGATCCGTTCTGTAACTGCTCTGCTCTGCACCTGCTCCGCGCTTGGTGTGAACAATGCCTTAAAGAGGCTGCGGAAGATATGTGGAGGCATCTCTAGGTACCCGCACCTTTACCTGCAGTAGCTTTCATTTTGCATTTACATTCTCTTTAGGTAGACTGCCATATGTATCAGTTCACTGATTGATTTGATTACTTGCCTGGAGTTGTTTTGATGGTTCCTCTTCTGGGGTATAGACTTTCACATTTATTCTGCTTGTTGGACCGTTAAATTGATTTTGTTACACAACCATGGAGAATCGGTTTATTTCTCTGAAAAGCCACAGAGGTCTAACATCGGCTTGTCTATTCCAGATACATCTACGTAATGGGGATTCAGGAGAGGAACGAGAAGCTCTTCTATAGAATATTACTGGATGACATTGAGAGGTTGATGCCCATTGTCTACACACCCACCGTGGGCCTGGCCTGCTCGCAGTATGGACATATCTTCAGAAGACCAAAGTTAGTATACCGTATATGGATTTCTTCCCAGATATCTCTGCTTTACTCTTTTCAGGATGCAGCTGTGCGGTTCTCAGGACAGTTGTAATAAATTGGGATGTATCGATACCATTTTTTTCAAGACCGAGTACTTGCCGATACCAGGGCTGCGTGCGGGGTCTCATCCGG